CAGAGCCCGACGCGGGGCTCGAACTCATGGACCGTGAGATCATGACCTGAGCCGAAGTTGGACACTAACCGACTGAGCCACCCAGGCGCCCCTTTAATTTTGATGTTTATTTATGTTTGAGAGAGAGGCAGAGTGTGAGTGGGGGAGGGGCAGAGAGAGGGGGAGACACAGAATCAGAAGCAGGCTCCAGGATCTGAGCTGTCAGCGCAGAGCCCAAAGCGGGACTTGAACTCGTGAACTGTGAGATCATGACCTGAACCGAAGTCGGACGCTCAACCGACTGAGCCACTCAGGCGCCCCAATGTTTATTTATTTTTGGGAGACAGAGAGAGAGAGAGAGGGAGAGAAGGGGTGGGGGAGGAGCAGAGACAGAGAGGGAGACACAGAATCTGGAGCAGGCTCCGGGCTCCGAGCTGTCAGCATAGAGCCCGACACGGGGCTCGAACTCACAGACTGCGAGATCATGACCTGAGCCAAAGTCAGACACTTAACTGACTGAGCCACCCAGGAGCCCCTCTTTTCTTTAAGAAGGCTCCGTGCCTAGCGTGGGGCTTGAACTCATGACCCTGAGATCAAGAGTCACGTGCTCTCCTGACTGAGCCAGCCAGGCACCCCCTAAAATGACTTTTCTGAAATGAGTTAATTATTTGGCTTTTCTCAAGCAGCTCTTTTCAGGACGTTGCCCATTAGCACAAGTATGTCATTAAAAACGATCTTGTTTCTTGTTATTAAAATTTCTACTTTGCTTTGAAGTGACGATTGACGAGTGTGTGTGTGTCAGTGTGTTGTTACCACTAACAGAGAACGGTCTCGTATGGACACGAAAACGTACCGAAGCTTGGAGCCCTTGTTTTTCTGTAAAAAACGTGCCCCTGCGTGGCGGTACCGCCAGGCCCTCTGTGTGGCACAGAGGACGGCTGCACTTGCCGCGGTTTCATTACCCGAGGTTATGGACGCTCTGCAGTCTGGATAGCGCAGTCCGGACGCCCTCTCCCACCCTGGGGAGGCCCTGGCCGGCTGTGGGATCGGGCGAGGCCACGGCCCTCTGCGGCAGCATGCCCG